TTATAAAACAGAACATAAATGAATTGAGGCACTCCTAGGAAGAAAAGAAATCGAAGAGCGTGTGTATTAGACAAATGGACGATTCTCGGCAAAGCGTATCATCAGAAAATTATTTACGGGATGTGTGAAAAGGGTAGTTTTAATTTATTTTTAATTACTTGACCAGTATATTTCTATTGAGTTCCTGTAGGACGCGTGTGGACAATATTATTAATGCTGCTGACATACTGTGTTGCGATCACACCCCTATCACTGCCACTACTATCAATAACAAATCGGTCGTGGAATGATTTGCAAGAGTATTACAAAACTCATGTTGGAACTTCAATTTGATGTGCTCATGTAAAACAAGTTTGGCAGGATGCCTTCATCAAGTTACAGCTGAGCAAGTAAGGTGAATGATAGCTCATAATTATATTTTACAGTTTGTTACTATTTCTAGATAATATGAAATGTGTATTTGTGTTAAATGAGAATGTTTATACCCTGATTCAGATGGGAATCTATGTGAAACATACAGAGACAAACTTGTTGAAGAGAACTGGCAATGCAGAAGTGAATGGGACAGCAAAATGTCGGAACCAATTATCATCAATTTAGGAGAAAATTCAAGTGATGAAGAGAATGAAGATAATGAAGATGACAAGTAAACCTCTTGCTATCCATTACCAGGCACAATCAGGAGAGGGGTGTTAAATATGAAGATCTGTAAGTATAGTTTTGAAATTATCTCTTGAGTGTGTTATAGTAATAAATATATTAGTCTTTCCATATTCACATGCATTTTGTCTTTGTATCTTTTCACGGAAAAACGATTCCTGCAACTGTAATCTTATGGTTAAATTAACCAAAGAAGATCCTATTGTTAATCTTTTCATTATATTTTAATTAAGAAATTTGTAAATTTTGTCTTTTATTACTTTTCCACTTTATCTTCAATACATCCACATTTGGTTGCCTGAGGATGAAGCAGTTGGCTCGGTCATCTTACAGACTGTACCTTCGAGACTGGATAAAATATTGCTGATTTCTAGGAAGTATATTCTTGAACCCCAATAATGACAAGCCATGGTGCTCGAAGAGAGAAATATTCAATTAAAAAATTTAATACTAATTAAAGTATATTAAACGTAACACTAATGAAATTCTCTCTTTTTGTTCCAGGAAACTTCCAGCTGACACAGGAAACAACAAATGTTATACTTTTAACCACAATTAATTAACATGAATATTTCCTACCCTTGGTTAATTTTTTCTTAAATTGTGTATTGTTTAAATGTTTGTGTATTGAATTTTGGTATATTGTATTATCATTGTAATTTTGTGTACTGTATTTAATTGTAGGTTTGTGATTATATATTATTTAAATTTGGATACTGTTTTGATAATTTTTTTCTTTGCATTAACATATGTTTTATATAATTCTTTTAAGTATGATAGGATTCTATTTGTAATATTTGTTTATCAATTGTTGCTTTTCTGCCATACTCTCAGATTTTTGGTTTCATTGCAAGCTTGCCTTGAACTGCATCCAAGCAAGTAATTATCTCATTCAGGTGCAACTTCTGAATTCATTAATTTATGTGAAAATAAATAAAATATTAATTTTATTATTATTATTATTGTTATTATTAAATTGTGTCCCAGTGTATGGAATAACAATTCCGCACCTTTGGTCAAAGTGCTAATAAAATCTGTCGTAAATTACATATATTTATGTCCTTTACAGACATTTTTTAATACCATCCCATTTATTCTTTTAACATCAAGAGATCGTTCCTAGAGATTTAGTATTATAAATATATATTTGAAAAATGAATGCTTGTAAAGGAAACAACTCTCAATAAACAATTTAAGTAAAGGCTTCAGTGTAAGATAAGACATGCTTGAAAGCTAGACATTAGTGAAATATAAAACAATCATAAAACACATTTGAGTTATGAGATATAGTACAGAGTTTTGATAGTCAGAATATTAATTAAATATAAGCCACCCTCAACACAACAAAGTGTTGAGCAATTTGCCTAGAACGTCCGAAAAGGTATTTGAACATCTCGAAAATTCAATTTTTTCTATTTACATTCGTGGCCAAGTTTCTTTAATTGAGATGTGATATTCACGTTAAGACATTTTACCCATTTATGTAATATAATTTCATATTCCCGCGACTCGCGTGGTCATATAACTAGCGAAACTCAGAACATCTCGTCAGTGATGTCTCGCGTGAACCCGTAAACAAACCTACGAAGGGGCCGTAACTAAAAGCTGACGCCGGCGAGGAACTTTCGAGAGTACAGTGATGTTCTTACTTGTTTTTCCATCTTCACCTTTATCCATCGTTGGAAAATCTTTATATGCTAGAGGAGATTATATATGGAAAACAGCTTTGAACAGCTAATGGCTATCCATGGTGCGGCTAATACAGCTGCAAGTTACGCCATGGACTAATTATTGTCATTTTTCGTTTACTACTAGCTCATTTGTGAATGGCTCGATCACTATATCTTCATGCGATAGTCCAGCACGGCGGTCATCTTGTTCACGCCTGTTCAAACGATCCCTTTCAGAGTAATCATTATATACTATATACATAATATAATTATATATATATAATATATATACCTATTATATATACTACTATATCTATCGTGATCTTTCGCCAATTGTTGGACGCGAAACGTACAATAATTGCGATTCCGTGCAATGTACTGGTCGTTTCCTCGCGCGATAGCGCAAAGCAGTGGGCCGTGATGTGCTTGAGCCAGACAAGGTGCTGGGGCTCTCCAGCTATGGAGTTTTGCTCGACTATGGTTATAAAAAAGGAAATGAAGGCACGGCGAACGCATGGACGGAAATGATCGTGTAGCCAGAAGTGACGAAATGTCATTACGGAACGTCTGTGATCACTTGCGAGGTGCAGGGTGCGAAGAGTTGCGAAATGCGTGACATTAACGTGTGGACTTATTCGTGCATTTCCAAAGTGAATCGTTGAAGTACGAACGGTGCATCTCGGAAAGTAATTACCACAACTAGACTACACTAATGAATAGTTACGTGGGAGAATTAAGCTAGAAAGCAGAAGCTAAGAACAATGTGAGATGAGTTCGTGTTACACGACGCTGTTGCAGGCGCACTATCAATTATGGCAATCTTACTGCTTGCAAGAGAAGATAACGATACGGCGAATTCACGAAATGTGCCATACCCAGCGTGAAATCGAGCACGGAACATTGCTCCAGAGGTCTTAAAAGAAATAAGTGAAGAGCTCTTCAACATGCGACAGAACGAGGCGTTCGAGGAAATCCAACCGCGAGGACAGAACAGGCGATGAGGAACGGGGCTGTGGAGGCAGAGGGGCGCAGCCATGGTCGGTGGGGCGAGCAGAGCACCGTGCTTACAGGCTACTATTCGAACCGTGAAATTAGTACCAATGGTGTTTAACTATACACACAAAATCTCAAAACTGCCCAGATTGGGACCTTATGTCCCTCAAAAAGTATATCGCTTTTGCTATCAGATTTTTCTGACCGCTTTTCCCTACTGGCCAAACATAAACTGTGACTCATCTGTCTTCGGAGGCGGTATAGATCGATCGCTATGTCGATATCCACTAAACAGTCGATGTACTATAACTTTTTATTTTAACATAACTTTTTTAACACAGCTGTCAGTTATTTTTAATATTTGGCCAATTTTCGAACTCTGTTGGACGTAATTTCTTTCGTGAAGTAGTCCTATCGAATACCACTAGTTATTTGGAAATTCTCAGATAAATCACCTCGCTTCGAGAGTTTATCGACCATTTTCAAAGCACTCGTGTAGTACCTACGATAAACGCGACAGCGGCGTATGTGTACTGAAGTAAGGCAAAATGAAAAGTATGTAGAAAGGGCAGGAGAAGGCGATTTGACATTGGTCCAGGATAGGTGCTGTGAGAGACATTAATAGAAATGAGTTTTTCTTTTGTGTACATTATCTTATATTGTTGCAACTAAATAAGGAGTTAATGAATATTATAGAATATTCGATGGCAGGAATGTATAGTTTGAGGGACTGATTATAAATTTTGTCGTTTTTCGACGTTCAAACATTCAAAGAAGAATGCGTAGTTACGTCAATTATTTTGTTGTAAAAATCAAATATAAGTTGATAATATTGTTTATTTGAAATAATTTTCCATCCAAAACTTACTGAGTAATTTGTTGAACAATGATAACATAACCTCATTTTCCATTTTATTGAGAGAAGTTTTGAGTAAATTATATGTTCACTTTTTTAATGTGAACTTGTCATGAAGGGCTGGACTGATCAGTATATCAGGAGAATTCACTGGTGTTGTTGGTTATCGGACTTGCATTCATTGCATATAGTGTTTGTGAAAGGGCATGTATTACTCGCGCAACGTTTCTTGAACGATGACCTTGATCCCCCTCCCTTGTGCAATACACAGTTGAAGGCAAAAGCTCGCAGCGGGCACTGATGACAACCTTCCAAGCATTAAAACTTCGTTGGCGTGAAACAGAAGCTAGTCAAAGCCAGTTGCTTTCATAGCGCAGAATTCCTGTTCAGATTTATTGTCAGTATCGAAATAAATGGTTGAGTCAGGTCCAGGTCCTTCTAGGGAGTCACCTAAAACTCCCGAAAAGTAAAGCACAAGATGCAGTTTTAACTTTCATTTCACAGACGTTGGCTTTACTTAAAATACTCTAGTGGCCGACTTTGTAACTAATACCCCCACTCCACCCGAAATCGTCAATCCATCGTTCAAGAAAAGTTGCCCGAGTAATACTATGTTTAATGCACTTTGGCAGATTATACTTTTTGCTTTACCAACGCTGTGTCTGGATGAGCTTTCCCACTCTCCCAAGATCCCATGCTCCCTATACTTATCTCAAGCTCTTTTGAGCATAAGTGTCTGTTTGACATGGTGGGAGGAACCAAACCCGACATCGCTATATATGCAAATAAATATGTAAATAATGAATACTCCATAAATACAGGCAGGGTGTGTGTGGATGGCGCCGTGGGTGGCGCTGTGGACGGCGCTGGCGGTGGCGATGGCGCCGGCGCCGGCGAGCGGCGGGCGCGTGCTGGCCGCCTTCCAGCTTAACGCCAAGAGCCACTGGGTGATGTACGAGCCGCTCCTG